CCAAATGAGGCCAGGATGGGCAGCAGGGGGCATGTGCGGGTCAGTACACCCCCTGGGGGGCCTCTCACCTTGCAGGAGGAGGAGGAGGAAGCTGTGGGTCAAGGTGGCCATTAAAAGTGTGGCCTCAGGGGCCACTGAGTTGAAATTCTCTGCCACTTTTGGTTGTATGGCAGCTTGCCTCAATTTCCTCATCTGGGAAATGGGAAGCTATGCAGATTCAATGAGGCAAAGCTTGTCAAGCGGAAACTCCAGCTTCCCTCCCGTTGCCAGCAGTGGCAGCAGCCTTAAAGCGGCCAGTCCACAGGCACAGGGCGCGGGCCCAGGAGGAAGGACCCGACGAGGGAGCTTTTGCAATTTGCCCCAACTGCTCTGGCCTCCTGCTCCTGGGTGGTGATGAGCAGAGCCCCAGACTGGAGGGAGCAGCAAAGCAGCCACTTCCTTCCTCGCCCGGGTCCTCCGAGCTGTGGTTGCCGGCCGGGAGGAGATGAGAAGCTGCAGAGGCCGGGGCGGCTCCAGCAGCCCCGGCCTCTGGCCCCACCCTGGCACCTGGCATGCCCCCGGAGCCTGCTCCTGCCCTCCCCAACTTGGTGGGGGTTCTGGGGCCACACCTCGCTTCCCCACACCATCCAGACAACATTCTCACTTCCAAAGGCTCCCAGGGTCTCCCCTTCCCTTGGTGGGGCGAGGGTCTCAGTTTCCTTCTGGGCATTATCCAACATGTGGGGACCCTTGTCCTAGAGCCGGCAAATTGCTGGATACTGGACAATTCCTTGTTCATCACAGCTGGGGAGCTGAGGCCCTGAGCTGCCTGGGAATGCTGGCTTGAGCCTGTGGCCTTGCCTCTCTCTGCTCTTTAGGGAAGAACCTCTGGGGGGGGGGCCCAGCCCCCAAGGCAGACCTGCCTGTCCCTGACACCTCAGTCTCCCTCGCCCTTCACTTCCAATCAACTGAAGGTCTTATTGATTCTTCCTCCCCCCAGCCTTGGCCCCCAGCCTTGACAGCCCCTCAACGACCAAGTAGCCACATCACCGGTCTCCCTCCTTCATGTCTCTACTTTAAAAACAACCACCATGACCTTCACGTCACCAACATCACCAAACGAAGACAACCAATTTCTGCCTTTGCTCACCTGCCCTGCCATCGATGTCAAACAGAAACTGCTGATAACCCCAGTTCTAGCACCACCAGCCAACAGAAACAACAATCGATTCTGCCGGCAATTTCCCGCCATCACCCACCACCACCACCAGCAACGCATCATAATCAACCACCATCAACAAAAACAGCCACGATCCCAATACTAGCCATCAATAGCCAACATAACCAACTACCATCGAAGCAGCAATCAACAATACCCCTTTCTAAAACCGACAATGCATCACCATTATTCCAGAGACCGTCACCCAAAACCAACAATGAACCACCAAGAGCAAACCATCGCTATCAATGCCACCCAACTCTTAATAACAGTGACCCCCGAACTGCCATCATTCCATGGATCAACCCTCCAGCTGAAAACAACTGACACCCAACCACCAACGTTCAACGTTAGCTGGCACCAAAAGTAACCATCACCACCACCAACCCACCCACAAGAAGCATTCTTACCACCAATTTGCAACAACCAACAGCACCAACCCAACCACCATCACTCAACAGCATCCCCTCTTCAACAACCAAGAGCCAGTCACCTCCACCCACTGCCATCGCTAACTCCCGCCATGAGTAAGCTTCACCCGCAGCGCCGGTTACTGTGTACTGAGAGCATCTTATGTGCTCTGTAAAGTACTTTAAGAACGTTGTTTCATTGAATCTTTCTGGGCCCCCATCACCCCTCCAGGAAGACGTCAGCACCCCTAGACAGAGGTATTGGCCTTATGGGTGGGTTCCACTCTTTTTCTCCTCCGTGGTCCTCTGGGTGAGTTTCTCCCTTCCCAGACCCCACTGGCCGAGCAAACAATTGACTAAGCATTTCATAAGGCTTCCTTGCGGGGGTTGCTTTTCTTTCAAGTAGCAAATCATTTGTTATGTTCTTTTGATCAAAGTCTACGCATCTGAGCTCAAGTCCTTCTGGACTGATCCTTCTTGGAAGAGTTTCTTTCTTAAACCCAGAGCTCTCACTGATGCTTTCATTGTGAATTCCCCAGAGAGGTCCTTGGCCAATGATGCCCGAGAAGATGTTCTCTTGCAGACTAACACAATCCCTGCCCCTTGGTCCACCTCCCTGCCTCCGCCTTGCTCAGCTGCCTGCTGCCACCGCCAGGAACCCTGCAGTTGTCACCACTGGCTCTGTGACTGTCCCAGCCACACACCCTCATGGACAGAATGACCAAAACTGAAAGCTGAAGTGGCTTGCAGATGCTCGGGGCTGTGGGGATGACTTTTATAGGCAGCCCAAGCTCTCGTTTAGTGTGTGTGTTATGATGCTGCTGGATCTAGACCCATGATGGTCACAGTTTCCCCAACCCTATCACCTCGACCACCATCAGATCTCAACCTCATTAGGTGGCAACGCCTCTGGCTGCAGTGTGTCCCCTGCCACCCTTGCACGGAAGGGTACCAGTGGCCGTGTGGGCATACTGGGACTCATTATCTCCCACTTCTGTGCTTGCTACAGCCAGACCACCTCTGTCACCCACACAGACTGTCACTACACCACCACTGCACCCCACCGCCCATTGGACACAACTTCCCCTCCCAGCTGTGGACTCAGAGTGGCCAAACCCATAGACCCTCCGAAGTTCCAGCGGAGAGGGCCCCAAAACATCTTCCACATCTCAGCCGACTTCCAAATATGACATTCCCGGGAAGTGAGGTGCAGAGAGGGGAAGTGACTTGCCAAAGGCCACACAGGGAGATGGGAGAGCAAGCTGGGCTGGAGACTGGATTCCCCGAGCCCCAAGAAAGGGGTGTGTCCTTATCCCTGCAGACACTGTGAGACCCCTCAGGGCCACCTTTGTCCCCCAGTTACTTCTCCATCCTCGGTCCCCCATAGTCATTCTGTCCACCATCAGATGGGAGTTGGTCCCTGGTGAGGGATTCTGGGGGCACCTGAGCTGCACTGAGGAACCCCAGAGGGTCTGCTGTGCCCCTCTCCATCACCCCACTTTCTGATGGTGGCCCCCAGGGCACCTCCACCTGGCTGGTGCCCCCCCACCCCTGTGCTTCAGGGCCCACCCTGAAGGACTTACCATGGTGGGGGCTGGTGTCTAGGCCCCTGGGGGGCGCCCGAATGAGTGGTGGCAGGGGTGTAGGCTCAGGGGGCTCTGGGGGGTGGCTCAGGCATGGCCCTGCTCCTGCTCCTTCGCCGGACTCCCAGCCTTAGTTCCTGTTACAACAGCCCCCTTCTCACTTCCTTTGGCGGGAGGGGCCGCGGCTACAGGGGAGGGAAGCTGGGCCCAGGGGCGGGGAGAGAGCTCGAGCAGCAGCGGCAGGGCAGGGGGAGCGGGCTGTTTGGGGCTCTGAGCCTGAAGGGAGAGATCAAGGATGGATGGCAGCCCCCGCCAGACCCCAGAAGCCCCTTCTCCCGCTCCTCAGGGGCACGGGCTGCAGCAAGCAGCACGCAGGTCAGCTGGCTGCGTGACTGACCCCAGGAATCATTTGGGCTGCTCAGGTCTTTTCAAAACCGCTTCAGATGTGCGTGCTCTGGGCATCCCTGAGCAAGCTCCCTCTTCCAGAGCGGCCTCTGCTGGTCCTTCCTCCACACAGGGGACCCATGGTGTCAGCCCATGCCCTGATCTTTAGGACAGCAGCAGGCCACCTCCTGGTCTCCTCTTGCGATTTGAGGACATGGCAGTTCCCAGAGGTTGTCACCTCCCCGTGCCCCCCAGCGAGGAGGCGGCCGAGGCGGAAGCCGGCCTTCGGAGAGCCCGGCAGGGAGCCTCAAGGACAGGGATACCCCGCGCTCCGGGCGGCACACGTCATCCTGCCTAGAGGTCGCCAAGACGCGCGCCCCCTAGTGGCGACATCTGGGGAGGAGCCCGTTTCTCCCTGAATCCGCGCAAGCTTGCTCCATCGACGGGCTCGGCGTGTGCCAACCTCAGCAATGCCTCCAGGCGCTAAAAGTGAATAAGCAGGCGGGAGGACCCCCACCTTGTGGGGGGCATCAGGGGAGGCGTCTGGGAGGAGGCGATGCTTGTGCTGAGACCGCAGGGTGAGTAGGAGTTAACCAGGCGAAGAGGGGAGGGGAGGGTACCCTGGCAGAGGAAACAGCTGTGGCCAAGACCCCAAGATGGGAAGATTGCTGGGAGATTGAGGAACCTCTAGCAGGCCGGGGTGTGCGGAGTGACTGGGAGTGTAGTGGCCGGGATGGCGGCTGCCAGACCCTGTGGCTTCGAGAGCCTCCGTGAGAAGCTGTATTTTTATCCTAAAATCACTGGGCTCTAGTCTGTGTTGGTAAAAGCCCCCTTAGGGCTGCTGGGGACGACCTGTGAGTGGCTGTGGCCACATCCAGGCTGGGGCGGGGGCTGAATGTGACCCAGACGCGCTGACACACACACCGATGCGCGGAAATCTACACAAGACAGGACTTTATTGATGTAGGGCTTCCTGGCGAGGGGTGTGGGCCCCAGGGCAGGGCCTGTAGCACCATGATGGGGGCGGCCTGTATGTTGGGGTCCCCCTGGGGCAGACAGGGCAGAGGGCGGGGTGGATCTTCCCAGCCCTGTCTCACCCCTATAGTTGGTCTGGTCAGGGGGAGGGTGGTAGGGAGGTGGTGCTAACCCCCCTCCCCCATAGCGGACATAGACCCCCCCCAGCTCAGAGTGGAGGGATAGGGCAGTGCTGGGGGGGCGGGCAGGGCACCGGCTGACCCCCTCCCCACCCCCCCTCTTCACAGTACATATTCCGATCAAAGGGGGGGAGTGTCGCGGGCTCCCTAGGGGTGGGTGAAGAGGGCACTAGGGGGAACAGTTGTCCCCTCCTCAAACCCACCCCGGAGGGGGTCTCTTTAAGAACTGGGACAGGGTCAGGCGAGGGGCCCTGGGGGTGGCCAGCCCCTCTCCATCCCCCCGCCAGAGGCCCTGCAGGGGTTCCCAATAAATAACTTCCGGCTCCATCTCACCCTTCACTCCCAGCTCCCGCCCCCTCGGGCTCCTTCAGGCTGGCCAGCTGCAGGCTGGGTCCCCCCTAGCCGGCGCCCAGCTGTGGCTCCGAGGGCCGCGCGCCCCCTAGCGGCCCTGGCAGGTTTTGCAGCACATCTGGCGGAAGTAGGCTCGGCTGCAGAACTGAAATTTGAGCACCAGGGGGCAGTAGGCGACCTTGTTCACATCCTTGCACTCTGGAGGGGGCGGGAGAAGGGGGTCGGGGGATCAGGTCTCAGAGTCCCTCCCCGCGGGGGCACGTGGCTGCCTGCACAGCGCTTCCTAGCTTCTCTGTGCCTTCGTTTCCTCACCTGTCAAAGGGGGCTTATCATAGTAACTATGTCATTAGGCTGTTTGAGGGTTTTGAGAGAGAGAGCGCACAGGATGGGTGGCTCGGACACAGTATTAAATCACGAGAAAATTATTCCCTTTTCAATGATCCTTTAGATCCTTTGGGGCTGTAATCCTTGCTCGTTTTCCTTTGTAACAGACTGAGGACCTTGACCTCCAGCAGAGTCCCTCTTTTTCAGGGCATTTGTGTATTTCGTGGTTATGATAATCGACAGTCTGTTCCTGACAGCGGATGCGGGCTCCCCCTAGCGGTCAGTGATGTATGACAGGGCCTGGTGCTTCTCGTGGATTATCTTTTTCCATCTCCCTAACGTGGCACTCCCTCAAGTGTCTATATTATTTACCGCCCTTGATGGATGAGGAGACGAAGGCACAGAAGTGGAAGGTGAAAGCAGTTTGGTTCCAATGCCCAGAGTAAGTCATCTAGTGTTCTCTATGAAAAATAAATTTACTTAGGTAGGAAAAAAACCGGGTGTATTTAAATCTGTGTTTCTCAAGGGGATGAGATTTTGCCCCCCGGGGGACCTTTGGCGATGTCTGGAGACATTTTTGGTTGTCACCACTGGGGGGAGGCACTAGATTGGCATGGGCTGCTGCTCAACGTCCTACAATGCACAGGGCAGCCCCCACGACACAGAATCACGTGGCCCAAAATGTCAACAGTGCCTGCTGAGAAACTCTGATTTAAAGAAAAAATATTAGGCAAATACTGCTACAGGTGGAGGTAAACAGGGCAAGGTCATGGAGGTGGTTGGGAGAATGACCAGAGTTTGGGTGCCGGGAAGGATCAGGTGCCTGAAATGCTCGGCACACAGCGGCACTTAATAAATGTTTGTGGGGAGGGGACGGTGAAAGATCCGGAGGAGACAGAGAAGGCATTTTGGTGGGTGGAGAAGTTCTAGGGCCAATGGTCAGGACCCCCACGCTCTTCTGTGGCTTCCTCCAGACAGGGCCCTCCTGGTGGCCCTTGGCCTCCCGCCCCACATACCTTCGGGGCCGTCACCAGGGGGCGCGCTGTCGCACTTGGCCTCGCACTGCTGCGTGGTGGGTGGCCGCAGCGCCTCGGCGCACTCACGCGACGGCTGGCCGGTGTGGCTGGAACAGCGCACGATGCGCTGCTGCTGCCCAACGCCGCAGGGCGCGGAGCACTGCGGGGAGTCGCCGCTGAGCCGCCGCAGGGCCGCCCGGTCCCCGCCCCCGCCCCCCAGGGCGCGCCCGCCTACCTCGCCCCACTCGCCCGCCACCCAGCGAGCCGGGGGGCAGCGACGCAAGTTGCAGCGCATGGTGGCTGGCGGCTTGGCTGCGGGCGAGCAGTGCGCGGGGGGCAGCGTGGCGCGGTGGTCTGCGCTCTTGCAAAGGACCACGCGGTGGCGGAGGCCCGGCCCGCAACTGGGGGTGCACTGCAGTTGGAGGAGGCGGTTCATGCTCAGCGGGCGCCCCAGTTCCCGCACGCACGGGGAGTACGGAGGATGCTGGTCCAGTGGGAGGTGAAGAGGGCCCAGCTAACCTCGGACCAGTCGAGGGTGGCCCACTAAGGCTAGTGGGAGGGGCTCATGACTGTGGAGAGGGCATGACCCCACATGGGCATCCTAGTCCCTGCCCCGCGCTGCAAAGGGAGTGGGTTGGGCACGGGCGGGAAGGGGCGGCTGACCTCCGACCAGTCCAGGGCGGCCCACTCGGGCGGGCAGGCGGGGCCGTGGCAGGCCTCCAGGACGGGTGGGCGCGGCTGCGGGCACGCGCTGTCGTCCAGCGCCTTCTCCTCGGCGGCTGACACGCGGCGCTGGCACACGACCGAGCGGCTGCGCACGCCCGCGTCACAGCTGCGGCTGCAGCGCGTCCAGTTTCCCACGGCCCAGCTGCGGCATGGGGGCGGGGGTCTGAGAGCATGCAGGGCAGGGCGCCCCAACCCTGAGGCCCTAACATAATCTCCTCCTCTGCAACATCCTGCATGGTTAGGGAAACCGGCACTGGGATGACTGTTGCTCCTTTAGGGAGCACCCTGACCCCCCATCCTGGAACATCATTATTCTGTACCCACACTGCCGGTGCGGAGGCGCATCATCCCAGGGTAGGTGACTACCTGGACTTAACTGGGGAGCATCATTGTTCTGCCTCTGACTCCAGGAGGGCCCTGACCCCACCCTGGGGAGCACTGTCACCCCAGCTCTGGGAGCACTCTCTCCTCTGATCTCAGTAACTCAGTCCCTCCTGCGACCCTGCGGCCTGGGGGCACTCACTCGGGCGGGCAGGGCTCTGTGTTGCAGGCGCGCTGTCTCTTGGGCAGCTTGCTGTGGGCGCTGCAGTGGTGGGGGGCCACGGCCGATCTGTCCAGCTGATTGCGGCACTCCACGGCCTGCACCTGGCTGCCTGGGGGCGGGAGAGAGGCCTGCTCAGCCCCGCCCGGCCCGGAAGGCCAGCCCGGGTGACCAGTGCCCACCCCCCCACCGGCCCCAGCCTGGCCTCACCGCCCGCACACTGGGCCGAGCACTTGGTCCAGGGCGCGTAGTGCCAGGAGTAGGGGGGCAGTGCGTCGCGGGCGATGGGCGCATTGAAACGGTAGCGGAGGGCGGGCAGCTCTGTCCGGGCCAGTACCTGGGAGGACGGGGGCATCAAAGGAAGTCAAGCTCCAGTCCCCACAAGGATGCTAACCTTCTCCTGCACCTTGCTCCCAGCCGGGCCATTACCATGACGATGAGAGATGCGTTAACGGGTCCCAGGGCTTCTAGGCTCTGCGTGTTATTTGGCCCCTGTCTCAGCTGAAAGGTGGTCCCGGCCAGGGGCAGGCGGTGGGGTTGGGGGGTCCCGGGCAGCCCCTCCAGCAGCAAGGACTCCTGGTCCCCCTTCAGGGCTGGGGGACAGCACAAGGGTGAGAACGCCAGCCACACTAACACCCCTGCTGATCCCCGGTCCTCATTCCCCCATCTCTGGCTCACCCAGGTGACTGAGGGAGAGGTTCAGGTCCTGGATGAAAATGTGGACGGAGCCTTTGGGGATCCAGACGGCTTCCTCGTACCCTGGACGGCGGAGCTCAGATGTTGCCCACTCAGCCCGTCCGCCACACCTGCCTGCTTCCCCCATCTCTGGTCCCTGAGGATTGCAGCTACCATTTTGGCCCTAAGCGCTTACGAGGACATCCCCCTGCGTCCCAAGCTATGGCCCTGTGAAGCAGATGTGTCATCACGCCCATTTTGCAGATGACAAAACTGAGGCTCAGAGAGGCTAAGCAGCTTGCCCAGCTAGGAAGTGGCTGGGCTGGGATTCGAACTCAAACTTTCCTGTCTCGCTATCTACCAAAATGATCTGGCCCACCCCCACCCTCCAACAAGCAGCAGGAGTGGGCTTGGGCACAGGGCGACATGGTGGCTTCAGCAGTCAGAGTTAGGTTGCAGTGGGCTCCACCACTTACTCCCTGGACGATCACGGTCCCTGTGAACCCCCCATCCCTGTCCACTTGTGCCCCCCATGAGTCCTAATTTATCTGCCTGGACCCCTACACTGTCCCCTCGAGCCCCACACTTGGGCCTCACTGTGTGTTTGGTTCCATAAGTCCACCTTTCCATCCCCTACTCCCTGGGGTCTCTCTCCTTCAGCCCAAGGCTTGGAAGGGCTCGAGTTCACCCCACCCTGCAGGTGTCCCCTCTCCTGGTAAGCCCTTTCCTTTAGCCCAGAGAATCCCTCAGCCCCCTTGGCTCACAGGCCATGGAGAGCGACCCCCCATCTCCCCAGAAGCACAGGAGGCCCCCAGGATGGCGGAGGGGAGAGATTGAGATTCCCCACCCCCTTGGACACATTAAGTGCCAAGGTTTAGGCACTAGAGCCCAAGCCAGTCCCTGACTCTGATCTGGGGCATTGCTGCGCCCCCAGAACTTTTTGGGTCTCTGACACCCCATTGGGTCCCTGGGTCTGAGGAGTTGCTGATCCTGTACTGGGGTGGGGCCAGCCCCACCTGCAGCCACCAAACGGGGCATGAGAGGGGAAGCGGGGGTCTCTCACCGGCCCCAGGCAGGGCTGCACTGAAGACCCCCTCGATGGTTTCACAGGCACTGCCGTCTCCCCCGCACACTCGACACTTGTCCTCCCGCACGTCAGAGCCCAACACCCGGTCGCAGCCCACATGCTGGGGAGGGCAGTGGGGGTGGGGGTGTCAGTGAGGCCCCCCCCCCCCGGTCTCCCATGCCCTCCCCTCTCTCTGGGAGTTCCCCTCCACCTTGCACTCGCCGCTGACACAAATGTCGACTGTGTCCGGGCGGCAGGGCGTCCCGTCCACCACGGCTGCCGCCCTCTCTGTGTAGAAGTTGAAGCCTTCTGCGAGGCACGTGAGGGAGCAGGCCTTCACGCCCCCTGGGGGGCACGGTCCCGTCAGAACGAGGGCCAGGCCTGCCTGGGACTCCCCACTCACTTCCTGGGGGAGGTGAGGCCCAGAGGGACAGACCCCAGGCCCAAGAAGGACGAGCAGGTTGGGTAGAGGGAGTGGGGTTCCCAGCATCCAGTCGAGGCAGCGCTGAGCCGTATCCCAGGCACTCTGGCTCCTTGAGTGAGCGGAGGGCTCAGGGCAGACCCCACGATGCTGTATCCACCTGCCCCCCAGCCTCCTGAGGCCCCCACTCACCTCCTCGGTATGTCTTCCACGTGTAGAATTTTCCACGGAAGGGGACGCTGTCAAATTCAGAGCACTGCATTTCCCTGAAGTCCTGGGAGCCTGGGGGACAGTCCTGGGGGTACCAGAGGGGAGAGGGAGGGAGGCCAGGTGTGGGGGAAAGGGGTTAGGGCAGAGGCCCAGGGTGGAGAACTCTCTCTCAGAATGGGATGGGTTGGAAGAGTGAGGCTGGAGGCAGGGAGGCCAGGGAGGAGGCTGTGAACGTCCAGAGGAGGCTGGACCGTGGCCTGGGCTAGGTCCAGGCAGTGGTGCTAGAGGAACAGGAGCATCTGAGGTGGGACTAGGTGACTCATTAGAGGTTGGGGGCAAGCTGGGGACGATGCCTGGGCTTCTGGTTTCAGACCGTGGGGACTTCCTTGAGAGAGAGGGCCGAGAAAGGAGCCAGGCCCATTCTTCATGAGCGTGCGGGGTATGTGGACGCCGGGAGGCACGAGCCCCCCACGTAGGGGCTGGGAAGGCTACCCCTGGCTCAAAAGCCATCCCCACTCTCTGAGCACCCCCTCCTGCAGTAGCCTCGTGCTTATTGGGTTTGTACACATAAGACTCGTTTACACCCAGGACTCAGCCGTGGGGAACCCCAACATTGAAAAAAGGAACAGCAGAGAAGCTGAAAAGAGGAGACAGAAGGGCGCCCCGGCCCCTCCCTCCACAGCCCAATTTCCCCAGAAGGTTCCCGAGGAGGCGGGCTTGGTACTACCCTCTCTTCCGAGGGTAGGGGGGCCGAGGGCGCCGGCTCGGGCCCGGGGGAACTCACGTCCGTGTTGCAGGAGCGGTGCCGCCGCCTCTCGCCCAGGCAGTACTTGCCCCCGATGGTTGGCCTGGAAGGGGTGGGGGGCAGGAGGGAGATGGGGCGGGGGGAGCAGGGGCCGGGGCCGCCCCGCTCTCCTTGCAGGGGTCCCGAGGGCTGACCTGGGGCTGTCGCAGTGCCGGCTGGAGGAGGACACCCCGCCGCCGCACGTCCGGCTGCAGTCGCCCCACGGGGTCCACGGGCCCCAGGCCCCGTCCACGCCCTCCGGCCGCGACCCGAAGGGGACGCACACCCGCTTGTAGCACCACTGCGCGCGGGATGGGGAGGGGGTTGTCAGGCTCTGCGCACTCGCGGGGGGATCGGCGCCCCTTTCTGCCCCCAGCTGGGGATTTCAGCCCCGCCTGGTATGGGGCGGACGGGGGAGCAAGGAGGTGGGGGCTGAGGCCCGGGATGCAGTCAAGTAGCATCGGGGCGTGGCCAGGGAGCGGGACGCGTACAGAGAACGGGAGCGGCCTAAGCAGCGAGTCACGAACAGGGGCTAGGACACGCCGAGGGGCGTGGCTTGAGACGGGGAGGGGGTGTGGCCTCAGGCCCGGGAGGCGCACGGGGCGGGGCCTGCGGGCAGGAGGCGTGGCCGGAACCGACCGGAGAGCGCGCTGTGGCGCTGGTGGGCGTGGCTTAAAGGACAGGGGGCGGGGCCCAGCTGCGGGCCCTGGCCGGCGCTCACCCCCTTGTCGATGGTGTGTGTCTGGCACAGCGTGCCCTCGGCGGCCGGGATGCTGTTGGTGATGCACCGGTTGCTCTTGCTCAGACACCACAGCTCGCTGCAGACCTCCTGCGGGCCGAGGCGCCCGCTCAGGCTCGCCCCCCTCCCTCCTCCCTCGGGCAGCCCGCCCGGCTTGGAAGGACCCAGGCGACCCGCTCACTGCCGGCTTGGCAGTGGGGCCCCAGCGCTCCTTTTCTGAGTCTCAAGTGAGTCTTCTTGGATCCCCTTGCTGGGTACGGCCTGGGACCTCTTCTGTGCCTATAGGCTGCCCGCCTACATGTGCCATCAACTCTCTTAAGCATTATCCCCATTTTGTCGGGAGAAAACCAAGGCTCAGACAGATAGGGTCACTTGCTCGAGATCACACAGCTACTAGGGGGCAGCTTGGATTCTCACCCAGACCTTTGATCGCAGGGTCTGTGATCTAATCCCTCTGCAGTTCAGCCCCTGGTACCTCCTGAGTTTCTAGAAGGAACCTTGGGACCTGCTGAGGCATGAAGAGAATTCTGGATTTCTTTTTAGGATGAGCAAAGCAGCCCATGGAGAAGAAGTGGTTCTGAAAAATCAGGCCTGGAAGATGGCTCAGGGCAAGGGCTCCATCTCTAATTTTTTCCAGCTGGTGATTCTCTTTGTTCCCCCCACCTAAGCTGGGGAAAATCCCAAAGCTTTTAATCTGTGGAAGGTTGGGAGGGGACAGAGCCAGGCTGGGTCTGTGTGGGGTATTCCTCTACTTCCCCCAGCGAAAAATCAGCTCACCTTCTTCCTGTCTGAACCCTGCTTGGGCTGGCCCAGGCCCTGGCAACAAGTCCTGTCCATGGCAGGAAGCTGGGCCAACGCCAAGGAGTCACTCTGACCCTTAAGGCCCAGTTTAATATCCCTGGACAAGCCCCACGGGGTTCAGGGGGGCCACATCTGACCCTCTAGCCCCAGGGTCTTCTCTCTGAGAAGTGGAGATCCTTCTGTCCCCTTTTTATAAAATCACGTGTAATCTCCTCTTCGAACCTAATCCTTCCAAGCTTTGAAGATTTGGGATGGGACCAATCAATGGCCACAGGAAGAGAATTTTCCTGAGTCAGCCTCTGAGAGACACCTGCATACACATGAGAAGTTTGGAGAGTTGTCCTCAAACCTGCTCCCTCAAATGTCTTCCAGAGTCCCTGCCTTCTGCCCCTCCAGAGGACACGTCTCAACTAAAAACTCAGCCTGGTTTTCTGGCTTCCTTTGGCTTGTGTCCTCCTGGCCATTTGTAGAAATATCACGAGCCCGCATCCCACTTCTGACACCTCTTAAAAGAACTGCCTATTCCAGCCCTGCTTTTCCTCCTCTCCACAAGGAGGTGCTGTGGTACATATGAATGAGTTCTGGGCCACTCTGGGACTTCAGCTCCGCCACTGTATTGCCCTCTCTCTGGATCTCAGTTTCTTCATCTACAAGATGGGCCTCGCCTCTATAAAAGGCAGAGAGGCATGTGACAGATATGTAAAGGCTTGCATAAACGCCCTGTTATTGAGGATCAATCACCACAGCTATCTCTGAACCAGGAACTCAGCCCAGCTTTTTAACACATATTGACCGATTTACACGTAGTCAATAAGTCCCCCCTTTGCCAGGAGGGCCAGGAAGATGTTCCTTGGAAAAACAAAAGGAAGAATCAATTCAACATACAGCCAGCACTAGTCCACGCTTGATGTTCTGACTCTTCGTCCCTTCCCCCACCCCTTTATAAAATTTGGAGTCATAGAGAGACCTGGATTCGAGTCTCGGCTCTGCCATGTTCTCAAATTGTGACTTGGGCAAGGTACCCTTCCTGTGACCCCAGTCCCTTCATCTGTAATGTGGGGCTCATAGGATTGTCAACAGTTTCAATGAGATGATACATATCACATACTTAGCAAATAGTGGGCGCTCAGTATATGTCAGCCATTGTCATCGTTGTTAGGATACCTGGGACACAGCAGACGCTCAAGGGTGGCTTCAGAATTCTTTAGAAATTCATTAGAGGGCGCTGTAGTTACCAGCCAAGTTAGGGTATGGGGGTAAGAATGGAATGCCAGTTAAATATAAGTCAATCCAGGGTTTGTGTCCTTGTCTTGCACTGGAAGGAAGGGAGGGCATTTTAACAGCTGCCTGCTCTCTGTTTTGAGTTAACATGGCATTAGCTTGCACATGATCGTCCCAACTCTGATCTTTTGAGTTTTGAGGGCATGGAGGATTGGGACTGGGTCCGGGCTACTAGGGCTGAGGCCGTGAGGGGGCGGGGAGTGTGTTTAGGGCATTGGAGGAGGCAGGCCGTGGAGGTGCAGACCCCAGCTGAGCTGGTGGCCCCTGGTGGCTGAAGCAGGAAGCCAGCAGGCCTCCAGCAACCTGGGGGGAGCTGGGAGTAGGACCCCGGCTCGCTTCTCTATGCATGGATGGGGCTTTGCGAGCCGAGTCTAAATCTCAGGAAAGAGTGGGGAGGGGTCAGGAGCCTCAGAGCTCATCCAGCCAAGGACTGGGGCCAGGAGATCTTGTGAACCAGTTGGTGGGGCACGCAGGGAGTGAAGAGAGGGCTTCCCTGGACGACTCTGTCCAGTTTTTCTGCCAAGTGGGGAAGACGGTTCCTTCCCAGGGAAACTATTTCCACCAAGTCTGGATGTTTGGTTAAAAATGGCCCAGTGAGGGGTCCTGGGACTTTAGTTCTGCTGCAGCAGAAGGTGGTCTCCCAGGCTGTGCCCAGCCCAGCCCCAAGTCAGGGGTGGGGAACCAGGAGGTCCCACTCTCGTTCCCAATCATTGTCCGATTGCTTGTGACACTAACGCCACGCAGCCCCCACGGGGGATCACTCCCCTTCCCGGCTCTCCCACCCCCACTGCCCGGCGGGGGGTGCCCATGTGGAGTTTCCCACCCCCCCTGGTGGTCACGGCCCCCTCCCCTCCCAGGAAGGAAAGCAGGAAGGCTCTCTCTACCCCGTATTTACACTGACGCGATTTGACTCCGTGCTGGAAGCGGCACTGCTCATCCGCGTCGTAGGCCTGGCCGGGCGCCACCGTTGGGTACACGAAGTCCTGCCTGGGGGGCCGGTTGTTCAGGCAGAGCCCCAGGCCCGAGCTGTGGGGAGAAGAAAGCAGCTGTCAGGCTGGGGGGCTGCAGGCCAAGAGCTCAGGGGCCCCTGCTGGGTTGGGGATCCCAGGGGGGCAGCCCTGCGGGCGATGGGACCCTTCTCAGACGCAGCCCCGATTTCCAGGGGGTCCCCCCCAAAGTGAGTGGGCAGAACAGGCGGGTACGTCCTCACTCCAGAAAGCTGGTGATATAGTCGCGGCTGCAGGATGACCATACGAACGGGTTGGTCTTCATGGTGATGTGGGCGGCCATGAGCTTGGCTGGGTCCTGGCCACGGGCCCCGCAGCTGTTCCCCACGCCGTCATGGTTCATGCCAAACCTGGGGAGAGCAGTGTCGGCTCCGCCGGGTGCCGAGGGACCTGCCCAGCCCCTCCCGTCCCCCCCGCCCTGTGCCTCTGGCCTCACGTGTGTCCGATCTCATGGGCGATGGTGAATGCGGTGGCCAGGCCGATGTCCTCATTGATGCTGCAACTTCTCTCCCGCTCGCACATCCCGCCCACAGGGGCCAGGCCTGGGGAACGGGCACGTGGGGTGGGGCTGGGGGCCCAGGCTGTGCTGGCCATCCCTGCCCACCCTGCCAGGTCTCCCCCACCACCAGGGCCAGGGCCACCCAGCCCACTGCCCTCATAGGTGGCTGAAACCTCTGGGGCGTCGGTACCTAGTGTGCCGCAAGGTTTGTTCTTGTAGATGCAGATGTCATAGCTGTGGAAGGAGAGGGGGACAGTGAGAGGGCTGAGCTCTGCCCAGGAGGTGCTATCTGCCTCTCACTGGAAACCTCATGCTCTGCCCCCAGCTGGCCTTGGGGCACGAGTGCTTGAATGAATGAATGCAAGAGTGAGTGAATGAATGCATCCATGACCCAGGAGCCCAACACCTGCCTCCCCGCATTCTCAAGCTCCCAGCAGCCCCTCCCCATCCCTGGCTCCCCAAGGGGGCGGCTGAATAGTCCCAGCCTCTCCCACCTCCCAGTGGAAGTGATCCTCTGCCTGGACCTGGACGGTCCCCTGGACCGCGTGTTCCCCCGGCCCAAGGCCTGGAGCCCTGCCCGCCCCTCACCGCGTGATGAGCACGGCTGTGTCATGGTTGGCCACGCCGTTCTCCGGAATGGCATTGCCATGGCCGCTGCGGTTCACAATGGATTTCTGCCACTTACAGAAGCTGTCCAGGGACTTCCCGGCGTGGTGGGTGATCTCCAGGGTAGGCTGAGGATGGACAGAGTGAGGTGGATGGGTGTCAGCCAACCCCGCTGGGGGGAGGGCAGGCACCACTGGCGTGCAGCGGGAGGGGTGGGGCCCCCGCACCTGGTCCTCCGTGAGCAGGATAAGGCGTGTCACCAGGATATTAACGATGTTGCCCAGACTTGAGTCCTGGAAAAGTTTGGCAACCTGACCTCCAAGAAACAAGAGAGACCGAGTCTTAAGAGGGGCCCAGGATGGAAAACAAAAAGCAAGACAATGACAATACCTCACTTGCATCAACTACCTACTACGTGCTGGGTCTCAGGCTAAGCATGCTGTGTATATCTTCCCATGATGTAGGTACCATTATCATTCCCATTTTACAGATGGGCAAACTGATGCACAGAGAGGTTAGGACACGCAGCTTGTAGGTGCCATAAGTGGGATTCAAGTCCAGAGAAGCCAGCCTGCAAAGCTCTGGTTGCTTGCCAGTACGTTTCTACGGACTCACCCCCGCTCAGCTTGTCTGCTTATCCTCCACGCCCCCCCACCCATCACCCCTGGCTGCCTCTGCCCAGAGGTGGCCCGAGGGTTGTGCGCCTCTGGCCTCATTCCATGGCCATCTGAAGGTACCAATTTGAGCACCACCACAGGAAGGCTGAACTGTGGGGGCAGGAAGCTCTGGAGACAGTGGTCAGAGAGAAGGAAGAAGTCACCCAGGGGTGAGTGGGCACAGATGATGGAGGCCATTCCGAGCCACGATCTTGGAGCCCTGGACCGCCACTGACCCCTCTGGAAATCCCCAACCCTGGCAGGTTTTAGGAAACTTTGAAAGCCCAGGGGAGGGAGGCAGGGCTGGGGCAGAATATCGTGGCATCAGATACCATGTTCTGTCAACATCTTGGGCCATCTGTCTGTCTGCCAGACTTTTTCTCTTCCCTTTTTGCTTCAGTGAAACAAGAGCACCACTCATCAAGCCAAGCTCTCCATCTGGCTTCCCTCCCACTAACTCTTACCCTCGGCAGTAGATACTATTATAACCCCACTTTACAGAGGTAGAAACTGAGGCTCAGAGAGGTCTAGAGCCTTGATTGAGACCGAGCGTGGGCATGGAGTATATCTGAGTCTGGGTCAGTGATGTCAGCCCGTATGAGTTTATAGGTAGGTGCTTGAGCCAGAATTCTTTTTTTTTTTTTTTCCTGAGGAAGATCAGCCCTGAGCTAACATCCATGCGAATCCTCCTCTTTTTGCTGAGAAAGACCGGCTGTGAGCTAACATCTATTGCCAATCCTCCTCCTTTTTGTCCCCAAAGCCCCACTAGATAGTTGTATGTCATGGCTGCACATCCTTCTAGTTGCTGTATGTGGGACGCCGCCTGAGCATGGCTGGAGAAGCGGCGCATTGGTGCGCGCCCGGGATCAGAACCCGGGCCGCCAGTGGTGCAGCGCGAACTTAACCACTAAGCCACGGGGCCGGCCCCTTGAGCGAGAATTCTGCATGTACACAGATGTGTGCCCACATGTGTACTGCTAACCTCAACAAGTACCTGCAAGCCACGGGTCTATTTTTCTAAAGCAAAGAATTATATGGCACCCACTGTGTGCCACACGCTGTTCTAAGTGCTTTATCAATTCACCGCATCCACCTTCGCCTTATGAAGTTGATACTATGGTTGTACCCATTTTACAGATGGGTCAACCAAGGCAGAGAGGTGAAGTAACTTGCTCAAGGGCACACAGCTAAAAAGTGGCAAAGCTCAGACTTCAGCCCTGGTCATCTGGCTGCAGAGCCCACGCTCCTAGCCACTGTGCTAAGCTGTCTCTCCTGCATCCTTGTCACATGCAGCTCTCCCTTCTCATCCTGTCCCCCCTCCATTCTGTTTCTCCGGCCTCAGGTCAGGGATGGGGGTGGGATGGTGACACCCCTTTTCCTGACCGCTGGAGGCTGGCTCCAGGTTCTCAGGGCTCCACGCCCAGGGAGGGGGAGGCACTTACAATGTTCATGATAGCCAGCACGTACTGCTCCACGTCTCGGCGCCCGTGGTAGGCCACCATCATCTTGTCCGCCACCACCAGGGTCTCCACGTAGCGCTCCCGGCTGACCGAGCGCTTCAGGCCTGGCTGGCCACGCTCTGTCTCGTTGCCCAGCGGCCTGGCAGGCGGCGGCTTCAGGGTGCGCAGCCACCACGGCCGCCCCTTCCACGGTTTCTCGTCTGGATGGACAACTGCTGGTCATTCTGGTGCTTGCACTTATTGGCTAATTACCTGTCTGATGGTCTACCCGGCTGTCACAATGTCATTCTTTTGCTACTGCGTATTCTGGTTGTACAATGTCTGGTTCTACGGATGCTCCATCACCCGGATGCCTGGTTCTACAATGACATGTCTACCCCACGGCCAAACCGGTTGGTTGAACAGCTGCCTAGCACCCCACAACATTCAGCACGACCGTACAACTTTCTGACAATTCCACTGCCTGAGCGTACGTGTGTAGCCACTAGCCTCACTGCCGGAGTCGTGTCCGTGTATCACTTCTTGGTCTTCCGACTGTGTGACTTTCCTTTTTTTTTTTCGTGAGGAAGATTAGCCCTGAGCTAACATCCAATGCCAATCCTCCTCTTTTTGCTGAGGAAGACTGGCCCTGGGCTAACATCTGTGCCGATCTTCCTCCACTTTATATGGGATGCTGCCACAGCATGGCTTGCCAAGTGGTGCGTTGGTGTGTGCCCAGGATCCGAACCTGCGAATCCGGGCCACTGAAGCAGAGTGCGCACACTTAATCGCTGGGCCACCGGGCCTGCCCGCAACTGTGCAACTTTCTAATCAACGCACTGCCCAATCCTATGTCTCTAGAACAATCCAACGCCCTGATGGTCTTACTACCTGACTGTTCACTACCACCCAGCTGTGACACCACCCACTTTTCTGCTTGTGCAACCAACTGTGGTTGTATGTCTGCCACAGCATCCTACTCTCGGACTCCTGGATTATACAACTCAGTGTTCTGCATTTCCACCGCACAGCGATCTGATTTTCCAGCTGTGAGTGTCCCGGTAAATATTTTTCTGTTGTCTAGCTTTCTTACTCTCTCATCTCCTAAGTGTCTGACTGCACAGCTGTCTTCCTGCAAGAAGTTCTGAACGGTGGGTGAGCTCTTCTTCTGCCTGGTGTTTTCATCGTGCAACTGTGTGAGTATCTGCTACAACCACCCTCCTGTGTAACCGTCTGATCAGATGGTAATCCTGGAGACAGATGGTTTTACACATGAGCATGTCTGGCTGTCCAGCTGCCTGTCTCACTCACTGCTGGACCATTGGACTATGGAGGTGATGGATGGGCTCTTCCTCCGCCCTCCTGCCCTGTCGTCTGACTGTCTGCCATTCCTCCCCACATGCAGCTGCCTGCGGACCTGGATGGAGAGACACTGCTGCCCACCTCTGCCTCAAGGCAAAGACATGCGGCCCCTTTGCCCATCCCCCAAAGGACAGACGTACCTCTCACTCCACAGGCTGTGTCCAGGTGGGGGTGGCGCAGGGAGGAACGTTTGTACACCACGTGTGGGCCACTCTCCTCTGGGCCCCGGGCTCCCTTTGGCCCATCTTGCAGAGGTTCTATCAAGTATTCTTCCTCGTCTGCCACAATCAGGCCGTGCTGAGGGGTGGGGAGTGGGACAGAGGGCTCAGATCACTTCCTGGTTCCTAAGACCCCCGAGACCCTATCTCTGCCTTTATGATTTCGTTTTTCCTATCTTCCTGGGTGTATGCTGCTATTTCTTTTCTAATCTCTGGAGAGGGAGGTTCAGCTCATTAATTTTCAGCCTGACCTAAGGCTACACATTTTCCTCTAAGTACTGCTTTGGCTGCATCCTAAAAATATTGATTAGCTCAAAATGCTTTCAAAATTTCCTCTATGATTCCCTCTCTGACCTATATTTAGAAATTTTTTTTTTTTTTACCCTCTAACTTGTGGGCACTTCCCCCCCCGCTTCCCAGAGCCCTCTGCTTACCAGGCCCCCACAGGTGCTGATGGCCACACGGGAGCTGCCGGCCTGGCCCTGCAGGTGGCCAGCGTAGAGGCAGTGGGCCCGGGCGGCCCTCTGCCAGGCCAGGCCCTCTCGAGTCCAGTACTCCACGGAGACATGCCCTGCCAGAAGGCGGGGGCTGCGGGTCAGGTTCAGCAGGAAGTGGGTGCTGGGTGCAGCCACCTTGTAGAAGAGGCGGGACTCTGCCGCGGGCCCTGTGCCCCGGCGCTGCCTCCGGGGGGCCGGGGGCGAGAAGGCCAGCAGTGCCCCGTTGTGGTCCACTCGGGTGGGGAAGGTGATCTCATAGCTCTCCAGACTGGACAGGAACTCATCTGTGGGCAAGGGTCAGAGGCCTGGGGTGGGCCCTGGGAATGACCCGTGTCCTGGCTGCTTGGCTGCAGGGCAAGTGACGCTGGTCTCACTGGCCTCTGAATCCAGGTCAGCGGCTGTAAGACTCTGGCCTCACTGACCCCAGGACCTCCCCCACCCCCCATCACCACCATCCCAGCCCCACTGATCCCTCCTCAGCCCCTTGCTTCCTCCCCACCACCTCCCCTGGACCACCCCTACCTTGAGACCGGAAGGCGTGCGTGACCTCGAATGTGAGGCCCAGCCCCAGGGTGAGGGCCCAGCGGAGGATCTGGCAGGCGGGAGCCATAGAGGCCACGTGTCCACATGTCTCTCCCCGGCCCTGGCTGCCGGCAGCCCCCACAGCGCCGCCTTCCCTGTTCACAGCCTGGGCAGCATCACCGGGCTCCTGGGAGTGGGCAGCTAGGTCAGGGGGGGCTGGTCCTGCCGCCCCTCACCCCCAGCTCTGAGGATGCCCAAGGCATTTCCTCTGGCTTGAAGACACTGAACGCATTTCCTTAAGTCAGTAGCCCCCCTGCCCCCGTCCCCCCATCCTCCCTACACTCTTAAGACAGGCAAGGACCTCGATTCTGTGAGCACCTACTACTAGCTAGCTATTGGCCTGAGCATTTTCACACCATTTCATTTCATTTCAGTCTCCTGGGAGTGACAGATGACAGACAAGTAAACGAAGAGTCAAATGAATGAGAGCTGTTCAGATGTGACAGCTTCTTCAGAAGTCAAGGGGAGGCTCAGAAGCGGAGGTGCGAAGGACGAGAAGAAACCAATCATGGGAAGAGACAGGAGAAGGTGTATCAGGCAGAGGAACAGCACGAGCAAAGGCTCGGAGGCAGGGAGGAGCTTGGTGTGGACCCAGGACCACAGAGGCCAGCGTGGCAGGGGCAGGAGGGCAGCAAGGTGAGGCTGGAACAGGACACACTTGAAGGCTGTGGTGGCCGGTGTGAATTTTCAACCCAGACAAAACCCGAGGCCAGTGCTTGGTCCCCTCTCCCCCTGGACCATCCTGGGCCCTCTGCCCTGCGTAGCACTATTCACCATGCCAGCGGGCTGGAAACCCCCACGTCGTGGTCCCTATCCCTGTGACCTCTCCTCCACCCTACATTTCCAGCCCGGCCCCTAGACCTACTTCTTTTCCTTTCAGATTCTTCCTCCTTGAAGCTTCAGGGCTGCACAGCAGGTCTCCGTTTCTCCGGCTTCTGCCCCAGACCAGCCCGCGCCACAGACACCACTTTGGGCCGCCACCCTGTGCCAAAGCCTCCTCCCCCTCCCGTCTCCGCCCTCCTCCTCCTCTTCTGTGCAATTTCCCACTTAATCACACACTGTCTTATTTTCTTTGCAGCCTGGCCAAGTCTGAGAGTCGATCCCCAAACAGGGCAGTTCAGCTCCTAAGGGATGGAGCCAGGTTTTCTCTAAGACGACGACTTAGAAGCTGACATTCCCCACTTTTGCTTGGACCCCTCCAGTGATGGGGAGCTCACTCTCAGACACTCTGTGGCCCTGCTGTTCCCAAGGGCTGATATCTACCCCTTGGATTATTATTATTATTTTTTGCTGAGGAAGATTAGCCCTGAGCTAACATCTGTGCCAGTTTTCCTCTACTTTATATGTTGGACGCCATCACAGCGTGGCCGAGGAGTGGTGTAGGTCCGCGTCCAGGATCCAAAGCTGCGAACCTGGGCCACCGAAGCGGAACACGCTGAACTTGACCACTATGCCATGGGGCCAGCCCTGGATTTTTTTTTTTTTTCTTTTTACCTTTCATGGGTTTTAGTTGGTGGTGCAGTGTCGGACCCCTATGGGGATCTTTCCCTCGGCCGCTCACTGTGTGTGGGCCTCTCTGGGCCTCAGTAGCTTCTTCTTTGGAGCCTGGGCAGGGAGGGAGAGGGCAGTGAGGAGGAGCTGGATTGGTCTGGAGTTCAAGGGTCACTGAAGAAACCCTGCCCTTCTCCCCACCCCTGGCCAACCCTTCTTGGATTATGTCCTCCCTCTGTTCCTAGCCCCCTCAAAACTCCCTCCTCCCTACCCCTGCCTACTCCGTCCTCGGAGGCCTTGATCAGCTCTGGATTAAACCCCTCCTGGTCGGGCTCCCTTGAGCCCCCTCCTGCCTTAAACCACCCCCCCCCCCATGCCAAGGTGGCAGCTTTCTCATTGCAAATGAGGCTGGAACCCCCCTCCCCCAGTCCTATCCCTCTCCTCCTTGCCCCACTGCCAGGCTGGTGCAGAATCTGCCTCCCACAGTGGCTCTGTGGCTCTGGTCCTGGTGGCAGTGTCTTCTCCTGCTCCCCCCTCCCCAAGTCCTCACCACTGTCCTCTGAGGCTGGGCCCCTCCTCCCAATGACCTCACACCCCTCCTTGTGCTTCTGGCTCAGGTTGGGTATGGGGGACAGTGCTGAAGGACCCAGCATAGGTGGGTGGGGATGGGGAGGAGAGGGGGCTGGAGGGGGAGGGCACACAAGGGTCTGATGGGGCAGGACGGGGCCGGGGGAGAGCACCTGGGACTGTGGCCCAGCCCAGGGGGCAGCCAGGAGGTGTGACCTGCCCAGGGCACTGGGGGGACCACGACCAGGTCTGGGTGAGTCTGGGGGGAAGATGAGGCTTGGGGGTGGATAGGGGACTCCAGCGTGGCTAGGGGCAACAGACGTCATCAGGGGATCTGCACTGTGACTGTGTGTATGGGTGTAACTGTGTATGTATGTGACTTTGTGTCTGGTGTGTGTCCATGTGTCTCTGTGTGTGTGTGTGTGTGTGTGTGTGTGTACCCAGGCCTGGCCGTTCCCCTCAGCCCCTCCTCCCAGAAGGCAGGAGGGAGGCGGCCGGCGTGGGGGAGGGTGCCAGTGCTGGAGGAGGAAATGCCTCCCGGAAACAGCCCGGAAACAGAGGCTCCATCCCATCCCGGGGACCCTGAAGGGACCCGCTTATCCACAACCAGACCTCTCGGGCCGGAAGGGGGACAGGGCTGCCAGGCCTCCCTGTGGAGGCCACGGCCGGCCGAGGCTGCCCAGGCAGAGGCCCCGCCAGCCTGGGCCGCCGGCCTCCTCCTCCGGGCGGGCGCAGCACATCTGGCCGGGCAGGCAGGAGGCAGACCCTGCCCGGAGAGCAGACAAAGGCCGGCCGCGGCCCGCAGGAGGAGGGGGCCTGCGGCCCGGCGGGTTCCCCCTGACCAGTCACTAATTAAAGGCCTCGAGCCCGCTGGGCTGGAGACACCCTGAGACAGACGGCTGTGGCCTGGGTGACCAACTCACGGGAAGTGGGCGGTGCCACTCCCACACCCAGACACACAAACACACACAGCGACACACACACACCGGGGGCAGCCACACCTGCGCAGCTGGGGACCAACAATCGGACACGGCAGACCCACAAAGGACCCCCCTGCACACACCGACAAACACACCCAGGGACAAACGCACAAGACACACAACTACACACTCCCCAGACCTATGTGCACACACACACACACTTCCACACTCATTCACACACATACACAGGCAACCCAGAGACAAACCCAGACACACAAACACGCACCCGGGCCTACACGCACAGACACGTACACACTCATTTACTCACTCACACCAGACCGGGGCAAACCCACAAAGTTCCACAAAACTTTGACACACAGCCCAGACACACTTAAACACAGGCATTTACACACTCCTTACGCTCAGACACACCGGAGACAAACACACAGATGTGTGGAGATACGCACACCCTCATCTAGACACTCACACACAGCAGATGGACACACACTGTGCACACACACTTACGCAGAACCACACACACAACATCCCATCTAACCACACACAAGTTCAAACACACCCAGACACGCACAGGCGTTTTCATACAGACACATGTATGCAGACACACAAGCATTTACACGTCCGTGGATGTCCACACGCACCCCGACACACACACACACACACACACACACACACACACACACAGCAAACAAACCCAGACGGGCTCGCATGAACTCAGTGTCGCACACGCTTCTTAGGGACACAGCACATCGCCACGACCCCCACTGCCGGCCGGTCCAGCGTCCCCCGGCCCCCAGCCATCCCCGTCCGACGCACACACCCGAAGTCACCCAGCGTCGCGCACCCCGGCTCCGGCCCGCGCCTCTACCTGCGGCCGCGCGCCCGCCGGGCCTCGTCTGCGTCTCGGCCGCCGTCTGCGCCCCGC